GGCCTCCAGTGGTTGCGCGGTTTCTCCTCACAATTCGCTCCGGGCGCCGGTGGCTCCCGGCGCCACCCCGGTGGAGCGCCGGGCGACGTCGGTATGCAGGCCCCCGGGGCGCGCGGCTCGGCCGAGCACTCCGGCACCTCGGGCACTCCCAGCGTGCGGACCAGCGCGGGGGGGCCTCCTCCCCACAGACCCCCTCGAGCAATTGGAGTAAAATCACGACGGGAGGTCTGTCGCAACGTTCGGCCCTCGTGGGCCCTTCTACCGGGCCTCGGGATCGTATGAAAACGACTCAGGATGATATACCGGTCCCTGGCGAAAGGGTCGAGACCTCGGGGTTATGAAAAAATCATGATGTCGGGGGTTTGGGCCCAGACCCCCGTCACCCCCCGAGGTCTGCACCCCTTTCCCGGGGACCGGTTCTTTTTTTCCTGTCGTTTTTGTTGACGGTCCCGAGGCCTGGTAAGGGTCCCCGGAGGCCGAGAATAGTTCGAATACACGTAAGGGTGACCTTTTTCGCCAGAGTGACCGTTGGTGCGGGCCCAATGGGGTCCCCCGATCCCCGAACGCGATGCGATTGTAGCGTCTTGCGCATGTGTGTCTGGCCCCCAGACCCCCCTCGAGTACCATTGAAAAATCACGACGGGAGGCGTGTCACGAGTTCCGGCCTCTGGGGGCCCTCACGTACTGGGCCTCTGCAGGACCATCAGAAAACGACGTCAGGATGAGAAGCCGGTCCCAGGGCACAGGTCGAAACCTCTGCCATGGCAGAGGGGGTCGACCCCCTATGCGTAGGGGGTCGACGTCGCTCACTCAGGAGGGAAAAAATTCCACACAGACGCAATTCATCGTCGATTCCCCCGAAGATATGGAAAAATATATGGGAAGTGCATGGGGGGGAAGACAGAAGCCCAGAGGATCTATAGGAAAATTATGGGGAATCCTGTTCTTTGTGTGCATTTGTTTGTGTGCCCCAGAGGGCCCTCCTTCAGTCAAAGCCAGCACATATGACGTCGGGCGTCCGGGCCCCACAGACGTGGGCGCCCCCGGCAGCGCAGGCCGGGGGCCCCCTTTACGGGTGGTCCCCGGCAGCGGCAGCCCGCGGCGCGATGTCCGCAGTGCGAGGGTCGGGTCGGGCGAAAGGGGGGGTTTGGGAAAGGGGGGGTTACGAAATCTGCTGCATGCAGCTGGTTTCGGCCTCGCCGCCGGGCCCATTCCTCGATACATGGGCGCCTCCCGGCGCCGGGAGGCGCCGGTAAAATCAGCTACGTGAGCTGATTCTCAATCCCCCCCCTTGCTATCCCTTCCTTTTCGCCCGGCCCGAGAGGGTCCGGAGAGGAAAAACCACACAGACAATGAGTCCTCGATTCCCCCGAAAATATGGGAAAACATGGGAAGTCCCTGACTCCGGATCCGCCCTACTTTGGGGAAGTTCGTAAGTGGGGCTTGGAATTTCCGCCTTACTTTTCAAGCCCCGCTGATGCCGATTTCCGCCCTACTTTTCTGTTGCTGTTTCTGTGGATTTCCGCCCCATTTTATGTTGGGTGCAGCAATTTCCGCGGGGCCCCTTTGGGTGGTCCCCGGCAGAGGCAGCCCGTGGCGCGATATCCGCCGTGCGAGGGTCCGGAGAGGAAAAAGAGCCACACAGGCCCAATGAATCCTCGATTCCCCCGAAGATATGGGATAATTCAGGAAGTGGGCCCTGACTCCGGATCCGCCCTACTTTGGGGAAGTTCGTAAGTGGGGCTTGGGATTTCCGCCTTACTTTTCAAGCCCCGCTGATGCCGATTTCCGCCCTACTTTTCTGTTGCTGTTTCTGTGGGTTTCCGCCTTATATTATGTTGGGTGCAGCAATTTCCGCCCTACTTGTTCGGCCTCTTATAGGTGGATTTCCGACGCAATTTTAAGTTGGAAAAAAAGCCAAAGTAGGGCGGAACCGGAGTCAGGGCGCAGACACAATGAATCCTCGATTTCCCCGAAAATATGGGATAATATGGAAAGTGGGGGGGAAGGCAGAAGCCCAGAAAATATATAGACACTACGGGGCATCTTGTGATTGGTGTGTATTTCTTTGTGTGTCCTGGGGCCCCTTCAGAGGGGCGGCGGCCTCTCTTCGACGAGCGCGTTCCCCATAAGGGGAGGGAAGGACGGCATAAACATGAAGACTCGGAGGTCCGCGCGTATTTCTCGGATCGGCGCTGGGGCCCCCCAGCGGCGCCTCCGGCGCCGCCCCTGGCGCGCTCCGCGCGCCAGGGAGGGGGGTCCAGCGCCGATCCGAGAAATCCGCGCGGACCTCCGAGTTGTTATGTTTATGTCATTGGTTTGTTCCCCTATAGTTCCACTACTCGCAAAGTAACTACTCGCAAATGGCCTGGATCCCCCGCGGGGGAGTTACGACAAAGTACATCGAAGCAGACAGGTGTTTTTTTCGGACGTCTGCGAGTAGGCGCTTTGCGAGTAGTGGAACGCGCTCGGCGATCTCTGCAGCGGCGACTGCTCAGGAGGGAAATAACACAGACGCAGGTAATCGTCGATCCCCCAGAAAAGAAGGCATTACAGGAATTATAGCTTTCGCGTAGCGAGAAGTCATCGAAAAACGGCGCGCAGGAGCAGAGGACGCTCGAGTGCGCGGCCACATCGTTCACCCATGACTGAGCGAGGTCGGGCGCGATTACGGCCCCAAAAAGTGCAGACCAGAACCCCGAAAATATGGGACAAACATGTGGGGAATCCTGTTTTGTTGTGTCTGTGTACAGCCAAGACGCTGAAATCAGGAACCGTTCGGGTTGGGCAGGGGCTCGACGTTCCTTACACTGAGTAGGTCCGTCCATGACTGTTTCTCCGGCGTTCCTCGTCCACGCAGGCGGGCCTGGGGTCAAAGAAGGGGCTTCGTTCCCTATTTGGCGTTCCTTCTTTCAGCGGCCCGACCGTACTCGTGCTGCCCGCGCGGGCCCTCTCGCGCGGGGGGGCGCCAGGAGGCAGTGCCCGCCGCCGGGCCGCCGCGCGCTCGGCCGCCGAGCAGCACGTGTGCCAGAGGCGACGATGAGGAGCGGACCGGAGCCCAGGGGAGAGCAGCACTCCAGATCCTTTATTCATCGACCCCCCCCCAAAAAAACTGGGCCCCCCTCCAAAGGCGACCTGCTATTCCGGACCCCCCTCCTCGACGGGGCGCTCTGATGAACCAGACCCCCTATAAAAGCTCCAATCCGAAGGAAGCGGCTTCATTCACCGGACCCCTCCAGTTACAAAAAAGGCGCCTTGAAAAACCGGACCTGGGGGGACGATTAATAAGGGATTTGGAGTACATGTATCCAGGGGCGCCGATGACCCATGTCTTCGACGAGGCTCCCGGGCGAACACGTGTAATGCCCGCCCTTGGGCTATTCGCCCTTATCGTCGCCGCCGAGTGTGTTCCAGACCCCTCGTCGCTGGGCCCTGGCAGCGCCCGTGGGTACGCCCTCGCCCTGGCCTGGCTGCTGCCACGGTCACCGCTGCCACGGCCGGCCGCCCCGGCCCGCTCGACGCGGCACTCTTCCACGCCTGAGGGCTCTTCCCGCCCCCTCCCTCCGCGCGGCCGCCCTCGTCCTTTTCCGTTTGGCCATCCCGTTGCCCCGACTTGCCACGCGCTGGAGCGGACCGCCTTAGAGTCTGGCCGCCGACGGAAAAGGTGTTTCAGACCGCTTCGCGCTGTGAAGCGATCGCGGCCGGCGGTTTTTCGCAGTTTTCCGCCTCCAGGGGCCTCTGCCGGGCCTCGGGACCGTCAAGAAACGGCTCAGGATGAAAAACCGGTCCCAGGGAAGGGGGTCGAGGTTGCGAAGCAATCGCTACGTCGGGGATATGGGGTTTGTGTGTGTGTGCGTGCGATAGATAACTGTATGCGTATATCGGGGAAGATGTATGGCCACCGCCCCCGCGCGTGTAGCTTGTGCCGGGTCGGCGCGTTCGTCGGGGTGGTGTGCAAAAAAAATAAGCGTGCCCACGGTCTCTGCTGGCCCAGCTTGTCTGTGGGGGTGCAATACAAAAGTCGTGTTCCCCCTATACGTCTTTTTGATAAGTACAGATCGAGAGAGAGAGAGAGAAAGACAGAGTTCCCACGATACGTCCCTTTGGTAATTACTGATCGAGAGAGAGAGAGGGAAACAAAAAAACAAGCAATACATATATATATATATACACACATGCATATATATATATATATATATATATATAAATAACTATAGACATATATAAAGAAAGAGAGACAGCGCAAGGGAGGGAGAGAGAGAGGTAAACAAAAAAGAAGAGATTATCAAAGATAATGATAAACGAACACGTGTGTGTGTGTCTGTGTGCGGGAACGTTTGCTCGCTCGGCGCCCGGGCCCACCCTCGGCCCTCGGGCGCGCGCCTCCTCACTGGTGTCTGCCTGCCCCCTCCGGCTCGGCAGAACCGCCGAGGGCCCGCCGGCCGGTCGTGCCCTGCTGGACATCGCCGCCCACGGGAGGCACGGGCCGGAGGCTCCGAGGCGGCGGGAGGAGCAGGAGGAGGGCAGAGAGAGGGGAGGGAGGCCTCCCCCTCTCTCGCCAAGAGCTCCGCGACTTCTGCCGCCCCTCGACCCGCGCCGGAGCAGCCACGACGTGCTCCAGGCTTCCCCGGAGATCTTTGGATGTGCCTCTCGCTGTGCCCGGGTTGACCTGGGTCAGCCTGTGCGTTCCTGTCGGTTCGTCTGGCTCAATCCCCACAGGGTGCTTGGCGAAAAGTCGTCAAGCCCTTAGGGGGACGGAGCGGGGGCTGGAAGCAGTCCCTTCCTCCTCCCCCTCCTCCTCCTCCTCCTCCTCCTCCTCCTCCTCCTCCTCCTCCTCCCCTTCCTCCTCCTCCTCCTCCTCCTCCTCCTCCTCCTCCTCCTCCTCCTCCTCCTCCTCCTCCTCCTCCTCCTCCTCCTCCTCCCCGCCGGTCACGCAGGCCAGCCCTCTTTTGATCAACGTGCAGCCTGAGATGCGCGCCTCCGCCCTGCACCACTTCGCCATGCAGGGCCACGAGGACCTGCCCGCCCCCCCCCCCCCCGCTGGGCAGCCCACTTGCGTCGTCCTCGTCCTCGTCGTCGCCGCCGTCGTCGGCGCCCGGCAGTGGATCGTCGTCGTCGTCGTCGCAGGCTGCGAGCAAGTCGTTTCGTAGCCTTCCTCGGCACCTCTCGCACTCCACTGGGAGAGCGCCCACCCAGACGAGTCGACGGAGGAGATCTGCACCTGTTCGCTCGACATTGGCATTCCAAGATGAATAGAGAAGCTCAATGCAAAGCAGCAGAAGTCATAGCACTCGTTGTTTTAACAGCGCGCGGGCACTCGTTCAGAAAATACTGGTTTCGTGCCAACGGCTTGAGCGAAATGGCTACGGCAGTCGGCTTCGCCAGTCGGCTTCGCAGTGTGCTGGTGCAGTCCCCAGTCGGCTTCGCTAATCGACGTGCGTTTCGCCGGGTACATTCTCCAATCAGAGCTTGCCTCTGTATAGGGGTCCTAGCGGATTCATATGGTTAGGTGAGGTGTGCCGCCGATTTCGGCGGCGGGCCCGGGTGCCCGGGTGTGCGGAGGTGCCCGGGTGCCCGGGTGCCCAGGTGCCCAGGTGCCCGGATGCCCAGGTGCCCTGCAGCCCTATAGCCTTATAGCCTTAATAGCCTTGTAGCCTTATAGCCCTAGAGCCTTATAGCCCTATAGCTCATATACCTATAGCCCTGATAGGCCTATACCCCATACATATATATATATATATATGTATAGCCCTATAGCCTTATAGCCTTAAAAGCTTTATAGCCCTATAGCCCTATAGCCCTATAGCCCTATAGCCCCATAGCCCCATAGCCCCATAGCCCCATAGCCTTATTGCCCTATAGCCCTACAGCCCTGTAGCTCCATAGCCCCATAGCCCCATAGTCCCATAGCCCCATAGCCCGATAGCCGTTAAACAAATCGGATTTGGATTTTTCTCCGGGATCATTCGGTTGTTTTTGGACATCGATTAGCGATTCCACCTGGTGCACTCGGAAGGCGGTGCCGCGCGCACCCGTGGAGTGCCCCAGCAGCTTTCGCTAAAGGGCTTCTGTCAACTCGATCGCAGAGTCCCTGGGCGTTCTGGAACGGCAACGTTGCCAGATGCATTCCAAGACGCATCCTCGGGGCCCGCCAGCTGCCTCTTAGTCTGGCTGTCCGCCGTGTTTCGCTTCCATGAAATCCGCGTGGACCTCCGAGAGAGTACAGTCAACGCGCCTAGTCAGGACGCGCGCCTTCATCAATGTTACCCTCGTGTCCCTGCCTCTGCGGTCCGTCCTTTGCTGTTTTCATTGGTCGCCCGCCGCCCAACATATTCCAGCCTCGGCCTCCAAGGGTCTTGCGTCCTTGCCAACCGTCCCAGATCCACGCTTTGATTGCATGTTGACGCAGCCCTTCCTCGCACGAGTTCTGTGCACGTCCACTGCACCCGGCCGGGCCCGTCCTCCTGGGGCCAGGGCGTGATGCCGTGCCTCCCTGGCCAGGCCCGGGCGGCGCGTGTGCACCTGCTCCTGGCCCTCGGCAGCGCTCGGACGTGTGCGCTGCTTCCTCGGCGGGGACCATCGGGGAGCAGCTCGGATCATCTTGCCGGGAGATCCAATCCGCGGGCGGCCGAAGTGCGGTCGGCGGGCCAGGGGCTGTCCAAGATGGCCCCGAGATTTCCCAGGCGGCCTGCAGGAGGCAGCGGCTCCAGTTTTGCACCCCTCTCGGGAACCAGGCCCGTTCGGGCTGTATTCGTGCTCCGCTCCGTGCGGCGAGAGAAGTACGCGCGCGAGCTAGAGGCGTGCACGGGGAGGAGACGTCCGAGCGCTGGCCAGGGCCAGGGCCCGGGGGTGGCGCGCGTGCACCCCGCTCCTGGCCCCAGGGCTGGGGGCAGGGAGTGCCTATCGATCTCGTCGCCCCGCCGCTCCCCGCTCGGCGCACTCCGGGGCAGGAGAGCGAGGTCGGTTCCGGGAGGCTGCCCTCACTGCTCTTCGCGCTCGTTGGATCTCCTCGTGCATCCTGGGGGAGGGCACCCTCGAATGCTCTTTGGTTGGCAGGCGGAGAGTCCCATGTTCAACATTTTGGATGACCCAAAAGGGGGTTCAGCTGCAAAGGGGTGGTGCAATAAAATTTGGGGCACTTGTCCTGCAAATGTATCGCGCCGGAGAAGTGTATTGCATTGTATTGCAAGTAATGTAGCGCATGCGACAATCCAACAATATATTTGCGCCCCGGGATGTACTGCACGCGCCAGATGTACTGCAACCCCGCAAACCTATTGCACCAAATCTATTGCACCATCCCCTTGTCGCTGGACCCCCTTTGGGGTCAACCCGAAACACGGACGGGGCCTGCCACGGTGGAAACACGGAGCACGGCCCTCCAGCGAGAGCGGCCTCAGGAGAAGCCCGGAGAAGGTCGAGCAGGGAGCGGACGGCGGGCGCGGGAGGCATGGGGAAGCAGGGGCGAGGAGAGAGACGGAGGGGGGCGAGGGACGGGCAGGGGTACCCCCTCTCGAGCAGTGGCGAAGCGTCCTGGCTCGCGTGTAGGCCTACCCGAAAATGAATGTTCCAAGAGCCTTTTGTGGCCTGCACGAGATGCTCTCAGAACCGCTCTGGCTGGGACGGTCCTGTTTTAGCACAGCAGGCAACTGTTCTAAGAACTGTGTTTTTTGTTCTTGGGGCATTTTTGGGTTCAATGCCGGGACGGCCGGTCCCTGCTCAGCCCTCCCCGCTCTGCTCCTACCGCCCCACATCGTCGGGGTCGGCGGCGGCCAGGGCAGGGCCAGCGCGGGCCGTGGGAGGGGAGCTCTAGCAATCGTCGCCACCCATCAAGCCACCCCAAGCCAACCCGAAGGCCCAATTCGACCCCCGATTTCCAGTTTGGGGGGGGGGCCGGGGAACATCGAAAAACACACATGAACCCGTACCCCCCCCCCAAACCCGAAACTTGTTGGTCTTCGGGTTAGGTTGGGGTGGTCTGGTAGGTGGTCAAGCAAGTCCGCGAGCTCGGCCGCCAGTCTCTGGAGCGAGGCGAGACCGACATCGCTGAAGAGTGCCAGTCGGAAGCCGAGCTCGGATAGTTGCGGCTGGACCCCGCGATCAGCGCACACCCATACCTTACTATACTATACCAGACCAGACCATACCATACTATACCCTCCCTCCCTCCACCACGCCCTGGATAAAGGGGCAAGTGACGCTCGTGGAATAATGGCCCACTACAAATTGGCGCGGGGAGGACCAAAACACGGAGGCTCCCATGGCGAGCAGCTCGTGCACGGAGATGGCTGGTGGGCAGCAGTCAACGCTGGTGCGGTTCACTCTCTGCCGACCCAGGCTGGCTCCAATCCACCACGCCCCGCCGCGCAGGAGGCGGTCCGCTACCTCCTCGGCCGCGGTGCGAACCCGACTGCCAGGAGCCCGCCCGCTGGCGGCGTGCGGGGAGGGAAGGGGGGCGGGGGGCCAGCCAGGGGGCCAGGAGGAGGAGGGGAGAAGAGAGGATGTGTAGGGGAAGGGAGGTGGTTGAGGAAGAGGAGGAAGAGGGAGAGCAAGAGGAATAGGAAGAGGAAACCAATGTTGATGATGGTGGTGGTGATGATGCTGTTGATGATTATGCTGCTGCTGATGCTGCTGATGGTGATGCTGATGCTGCTACTGATGATGATGGTGATGATGATGATGATGATGAGGAGGAGGAGGAGGAGGAACACAGCAGCAGCAGGAGTTGGAGGCTCTCTCACTTTATCCCCTAATCAAGCGTTGATACATTGACTTGCCCAGCTTGGAGCCACGTGCGCTAGAGGGCGTGTCGCGGTGTTGCTTCTCAGCCCGCTGCCTCGCAAAAGGAGGCAGCGGCGGCGACGCAGCATATGATCCTCTCGGGCCCCGCCAAGCTCCTAACAGGCTCGCGAAGCAGGGCGCCAGCAGGGAGTACCGCTCCACGGTGGCCGAACGCAACTCCCAGGCCAACCCCACACATGCGACCCACCGGCGCCCGTGGGGCGGTTGCGCCAGCGGTGCAGGAGATGGAGCGACCCTCACACTCGGCAACACACACACACACACAATTTGCCGTGCCGGCCGCCGGCTCTCGAAGCCGACGGCCAGCTGGTCGTCTGCATGCTGCAGACGAGGCGTCTTGATTCGCACTGGTACGTGAAGTCTGCTGAGATTTCTGTATCGCCCCCCAGAAACTGAGAACATCGCCTGCGCCGACCCCCCAGGACGACCCAGGAGGGCCGCAGGAGAGCCCCCAAAGAGCCCCACAAGAGGCGCCACGGGGCCGCCGAGGGAGTGCCCCAAACCCGAATGAAGTGCCGAACGCTTCGCGGAGGAGGAGGAGGAGGAGGAGGAGGAGGAGGAGGAGGAGGAGGAGGAGGAAGAGGCGGAGGAGGAGGAGGCGGAGGAGGAGGAGGAGGAGGCGGAGCAGGAGGAGAAGGAGAAGCCGGAGGAGGAGGAGGAGTTGAAGGTGGAGGAGGAGGAGGAGGAGGAGGAGGAGGAGGGGGAGGAGGAGGAGGTCGGCTGCCGAGCCACTAGGGCCTAGTAAGTGAGGTCATCTTCTCTCCAAGTAAGGGGGCGAGGGTACATATAGCGGGTGGCTGGGCTCACACTACACACACCTTGAATGTACATGGGTCCCTTCAGGTTTGGTTTTGTAGTGTGTGCGGGGCCGTCGCTGATAAGGCGATATGCTCACTGAAGGCACCATGTAAGCTTAGATTGTCCAAGCACGGAAGGGCATATCTTGACAGGATCCTCAGGGGGTTACGGCCCAAGGTCCTGAGTCGAGCCGAGCTGTCGGCTCGCTCGAGTGTCCCACCCAGGTCAGGCTAGGCTAACTGAACTTGCATCGCAACGGGGTCCACTCCACTCCACTCCTCCCATCATCCTCGTGGCCCAGAATAGGTCGACGCTGCACGGTTCGCGCAGTCGCGTCCGCGCTCTCGGAGAGTCGCGATCGTCCAGGCGTGGACGATCGGCGAGGTCTCAGGAGGTCGTGCTGTGGAGCACGGCGTTGATAACGGAGTCGACGTGTGGCCGCGAGCGCCACGGTCCATGTCCAATTGCGCGGAGATGACACCAGGCACCAGACGAACGGCCTCCTCGGGAACGGGGGTGTGACCATGAAACTATTGACGCCGCCGCCACCGCGCACAGTGCACAGTGGAGGCCCATGCCATGAAGCACCCTTCTTGCCTCCAGGGTGCCCTGGGTTTCTTAGGTTTCGACGGGTTTGCTGTGGAAAGCGCGACGTGCCCACACCAAAAAACAATAGACTTCCTAGAGTCTCGTGGTTGGGTTTCTTGTGGAAGGATTCTTGTGGACTGGCCTCCGATAGTGGACAGTATTCGGACAGGCCTGTATCGGAACGTCCTGCAGTGGAACGTCATGTAGCGAACAGTATTCGGGATAGGCTTGCGAGCGTGAGACGCTCAACCAATTGCGTGCACGTTTCGGGCAAAGGCCTGCATTCTTGCAGTCTACCTCGACGACCCAGCGACATCACTGAGCCCAGTCGGCCTCACTGCTGCATCCATGTTAACCACTTTCCAAGATGTTCGATATTCAGTTTCGGCACGTGTGTGCGGCATGCTGGAAGAGGGATATGCGTATAGGCCGACTGAAACCAACAAGTTAGGCTCTTACGTTCATGATCCCACCGCCGAGTCCAGCCCGCACCCCGCTTGCTCCCGCGACTACGACTCCATCCTGTGAGTGGCCGTGGCCCCTCTCCCCCTCCCCCCTTGCATTCCACAGTTTGCTTTCCTCTGGCGCCCCTGCACCCATCCGCAGCACCCGCGTAGGTGCCTGAACGCGGGATAGCGCAACGTAGTGTAGTGTAGTGCAGCGGCACATTCGACATACACGTAGCACCCCATATCTGTGGATGAGAGTGAGGGGTTTGGATGGGCAGCGGGGGAAGGGGGAGGAGGAGGAGGAGGAGGAGGAGGAGGAGGAAGAGGATGGGGGAACAGCAAGAGCAATATCAGGCGATCGCAAGATCAAGGGGGCGTGGATTTGCGACGTGTCCCGTTTCCCTGGGAAATCGCGGATCTCCGCCGCCGAACGAGGCGGCACCGGCCGCATTCTGGGGAGAGCACTTCCCCGATCCATGGACTTGGCGGCCGCGCACCAGATCCATGGATCGCTGATCCATGTTATTGCGCGCCCGCGACGAGAGCAACAGCAGGAGGAGAGGTGGGCGAGTCTCAGGCCGGAGGGTTCCAAAGGGGGTTCTGTTGGGGGAGGGGCTCTTCCAGGAGGGGTCCCCCCAGGGGCCTCGGAACTCAACAGGGGGGTGCGAAGCCCCTGGGGGACGCCCTGATTCCGGATCCGCCCTACTTTGGGGAAATTCGTAAGTAGGGCTTGGAATTTCCGCCTTACTTTTCAAGCCCCACTGGTGCCAATTTCCGCCCTTTTTTTCTGCTGCTGTTTCCGCCCTACTTCTGTGGATGTCCGCCCTGCTTTATACTGGGTGCAGAAATCTCCGCCCTACTTTTTCGGCCTCTTATGGGTGGATTTCCGACGCAACTTTGAGTTGGAAAAAAAAACAAAGTAGGGCGGATCTGGAGCCAGGGCGCCCCCTGGAAATCCCCCTCCCCCCCGAAAAATCCCCCCTGGTGGAACCCTCCCGTCGCGGGGCCGCGCGGGCGCTCGGCCGCGCGCGGGGGCGCGCCTCTCCCGCGCGAGCCCGGCGCACCCCCCCCCCCGGGGCAGCGCTTGCGCGAGCGCCGCGCCAGCCGCGCCCGGAGGGGGGCGGGCACGGGGCCGGGCCGCGGCAGCGGGCAGCGGCTCTCCGGCGGCCGCGGGGCCAGAAGGGAAAATTGGTGGTCCCCAAACGTGGTGGTGAGAACACCCGGTGGTGAGTTTTGGGCGATTTGGGGAATTGTTTTCGAGCGCTGGCTGGCCCAGGAAACGCAAAACCTCGTGGCGACCGCGTGTCCCCGAACCCGGTGGTGACCCAGAATTATTTCTTCGGGGAAACGGGGTCACCACCGGGTGTCTCACCACCTGGTTTGGAGACCACCAAGAAAAAGCTGGTGGCGCTCGGCGCGGACTTCTCGGGTCCGCGTTGGGCCTCCCCGGCGCCGGATCCGCCCTACTTTTTGGCTTTTTTTCCAATTTAACATTGCGTCGGAAAGCCACCTGTGAGAGGCAGAAAAAGTAGGGCGGAAACTGCTGCACCCACCATAAGATAGGGCGGAAACCCACAGAAACAGCAACAGAAAAGTAGGGCGGAAATTGGCATCAGCGGGGCTTGAAAAGTAAGGCGGAATTGTTGTCGCTTCGCGAATCCCCACCAGCCCATCCAGAAACGATGCCCAGAGGAATTGCCTCGATCAGAGAAGTGGGCAGCACACAGAGGAAGCCATTATGAGACATCTTGGGATATCTTGAGCCATCTTGGAGGTCATTTTGGGCTCTCCCAGACGCTCTTGGAGTCATCTTAATCCGTGCCCCCCCCCAAGAGGCCTCCATGTGGCTAAAACCTGTGTAGAATCAATGATTAGGCATTCTCGCCGAGGCCTCTTGGAGCATCTTGGGTGCATCTGGGGGGGCTCTTGGGGCCTCTTGGGGGTCTCTTGGGGGCCTCCGGGGGGCCTCTTGGGGGCCTCTTGGGGCCATTTTGGGGCCATCTTGGGACCTCTTGGGGCTTCCTGGGCGCTTCTTGGGGCCATCTTGGAGGAGATCGATCAAACAAGAGGGGGGGTTTAATTAGCGCCCCCCCTCGGAAGCCCCTAAAATCGCCTCTTGGACCCCTCTTGGAACGCTCTTGGAGTGCTCTTGGGCGCTCTTGGGGCCGTCTTGGGGCTCTTTTGGGGCTCTCTTGGGGCCCTCTTGGGCCATCTTGGAGCCATCTCCAGGCCTCGGATGGCCATCGGAAGCGAAAAGGCGAGAAAGCAAAAATCATTGATTTTCCTTAGGTTTTGGGACGATTTTGGCCTCTTCGGGGCCTCCTTGGGGAGCTGTTTGGCCACTTGGAGTTATCTTGGGGCCGTCTTTGGGCTTCTTGGAACCATCTTAGGAGCCATCGTGAGCGATCTTGCGCTATCTTGAGCCATCTTGGAGCTCATCTTGGGTTCTCTGAGGCGCTCTTGGAGCCGTCTTGGGCCATCTGGGACGCTCTAACTACCAGCGGCCCCCCCCGTCCAGGTCCAGGGGAGGGGGTAGGGGGAGGGGTAAACCCCTCCCCAAGGGGGAAGAGGGAGGGGTGGAAGAGGATCTGTTCTAGACCACCTACGCCCAGAGGGCTGGTGGGAATTCTAAGCCCCACTCACGAATTTCCCCAAAGTAGGGCGGATCCGGAGTCAGGGGGCCGCCCTCGGCGCGCTCCGCGCGCCAGGGAGGGGGGGTCCAGCGCAGATCCAAGAAGTCCGCGCGGAGCGCCAGCAGTTGATGTCCGTGGCGTTTTTTT